GACCTCCCTCACTGCCTCGCCAGCGACCTCCGCGTGCCGAAAACGTTCAAGGAGGCCATGCGGTCTCAACATTCAGAGTTGTGGGATGATGCAGTCGGTCGGGAGTTTTTCGGTCTGTTGGATGCAGGTACTTTTAGTCCGGTGTAGCAACCAGTAGAAAACTTCATCAACGCCAAGTGGGTATTCAACTGTAAGGCAGACGAGTACGGATGGCCGGCGAAATTCAAGGCAAGACTTGTAGCGCGGGGGGACATGCAGAGGGCTTCGATTGATTTTGGAGAATTGTTTGCACCCACCGTATCCGTGTCTAGTGTGCGTTTGTTGGCAGCTTTGGCATGTGAGCAGAACCTTGACTTGTGTCATTTCGATATTCAGCAGGCGTTTGTGCAGTCTGAGCTTGAAGAGGATGTTTTCATGCGTCTCCCGCAAGGTTGTGGTAGGTTATCTGGACTGATCGTGAAGCTATGCAAGAGTCTGTACGGTTTGAAGCAGGCGTCACGACAATGGCATGCGCACCTGACGAGGTGTTTGTTACTTTTAGGATTTGTGCAGTGTTTGGCGGATGCATGTGTTTTTCGATTTATGGAGGATGGATGTGTGATCATGATCATCGTGGTCCACGTGGATGACATTTTTGCCGTAGGGCAGAAGGAGAGATGTGACAAGTTTGGCAGAGACCTCAACGAGATGGTCCCCGTGAAGAACCTTGGGGAGTTGAGGTGGTACTCCGCGTGCTTTTACCAGAGAGATCTAGAGAGAGGCCTTTTGAGGATCTCGCAGCAAAGGTTTGCAGAAGAGTTGGCTGCAGAGTACGGCGTAGAGTGGGGGAAGAGTGTGCCCTTGCCTGTGAGCATGAAGCTCACCGACTTTGACGAGGACGAAGCGTGTGCTGATGTCCCTTTCCGCGAGTTGGTAGGATCCCTGATGTGGTTGGCCACTCAAACCAGGCCGGACATCGCGAATGCAGTACGAGCAGTAGCGCGGTATTGCGCGTCTCCCAAGATGGTGCACTGGAAGGCAGCACTTGGTATTTTAGGGTACGTGCGTAGGACGAGTTGGATGGGGATTACATTTGAGAGGGGTGTGGTGACTGGCATGAGCATGCAGGTGTTCGTGGATGCTGACTATGCGAGCAAGGCAGCAGACCGTAGGTCGGTTTCAGGAGGACTAGTGATGTGTGGGGGTGGGTGTGTGACTTGGTTTTCGAGGACGCAGAAGTGCGTTACGCTTTCCACAACGGAAGCAGAGTATGTGGCAATTGCCGACGTCTTGAAGGAGGTGCTTTTCTTGAGGCAAGTTTGGCGTTTTATGTTGCCAGATGCAGGTATGCCGTGCATTCAAATCTTCGAGGATAATCAGGGAGCGATTCAGATTGCGCACAACCCGATCACGAACTCAAACTCGAAGCACATTGATGTACGGCATCACTTTATCAGGGAACTGGTAGAGAGGAAGGAGATTTCGATTACTCATGTGGCGTCGGAGTTTCAGCATGCAGATTTCTTGACGAAGGCTATCAGCAAGGAATCTTTTGCGTTGCACAGAGACTTTGTGATGAATTTGCAGTGACAGAGGTGTTTTGGGATCAAATCGTGCTTTGCCGTTGAGTGGAAGAGAGAGGATATGTACGAGTTTGAACAAGAGATAGAGAGGGTCAAGTGGAGATGGTAGTGTTTTGGAAGGTTAATGTTCGGGATTTTTCTTGATGATTTGGAAGAGTTGGTATGCGATTGATTGTTTTTGGAGGTATTGTTTTGGTGTTGGAGTTTTCGATTTTGTCTTGGTTTTGATTTGTTTTGGGATGAACTGGTATGATAAGGATGACTTTGATATTTTGTTGGAGCATGACGATGCATACGAGCAGGGGGGCTATTCGATATACTCGTAGCATAGCATGGGGGTGGTATATTGCGTATACATATGCGGGGATTGCAGTGACGAACTACGGAGGGACAAGAAGTTTCTTTGTGTTTTCCTTGGGAGTGTAGTAGATTGGTGGAGATTCATGGAGATTCGTTCTGGGTATTAAAGCGTTATGCGTGACTTGATGCCGTGATGGAATGACGAGCTCAAGCACGCCCCCGATGAATACAACACGTTTTTCACCACGTCTACACGTCTTTACCTACCCGTGCGGCCCGTCATGGCCGAGCTGCTCTACGCTCCCATCACACACAACTGAGCCACCCGAATTATCGATCAGATGTACAGTTTATTCAAGATGTAATACGCCCCAAGAGCCGTTGGTGATTTTTTTTATCCCTACAAAAACCATGCGCCAGCAACGAGAATCACATGCGCACGGCCCGACGGCGTTTGTTTCCACACGCCAGTAATAAGTGCATGCATGCAGGAAGCAGCCACAAATTAAACGCCCCCCTCCCCGCTCATTTTTGCATGAGGCACGCCAATGAAGCACAGCCAGTCACCGGTGCACCTCGTTGCCCTCCACTCACTTTTATATATATATTCTTATTAGCGTCCACCAATTTTCCTCTGGCCTTTCGCTCCCTTCGCTTCTTTCTGTTCGCTTCGGAATAATCCAGTTGCACTGACTGCCAAGAGTCCATCTCCCTGTCTTCGTCCAAGCCGGACGACGACGAGCGCAAGACCACGCGCTTCTCCAAGCCCTTTACTTGCTTTTTTTTGCGAGGACCTGAACGGGTACGACACGCCGTACTTCCGTATGCCACACCCGAAGGGTAAAATAAACCCCTACAACAAGATGGCCCGCACCGTGTACCTGCACGCGGACGGGGCCCTGTGCGTGGGAAAGGATCTGCCGAAAGGGTCCGACTTCACCTGCGCGGCTTCGGGTTGTGACTCCACGAAGAAGGAGCTGCGCGACGTCATGGGCGTCGGAAAGGCAGAGCAGGTATTCTACCAGGACTGCAAGTTCAAGAAGCGTGCGGCGATCCTGTTCATCGTCTCGAAAGAGCTAGAAAAGGAGCGTATTAAAAGCGAGAACAACTCCACTCCGCGGAAGCCCCGCCATCGCCGACCCTGTTCATGGGGGCTGCATATTCCTTGGTCGGCGTAGCTTACCATATTGCGCATGGTGGGTCACGGAAGAACCACTTCGTTCGTTCGTCACTCAACTGCGTGCCAGAGGAAGATGGCACAAGTACGACTGCCTGGCGGGAGGAGCCGTAACTTCTTCAGACACCTTCGATGCCGACTGGAACAGCTCGTCGCAGTGTATGCTGGCGTACCTTAAGACTTCTTTGTGCGTCGCCACCCCACCGCTGTACACGCGACACGAAGAACAACATCATAACAGCCCTTCTGGGCGACAACCGGGCCACCGTCAACACGCCGACGACAGCAGCCCTTCGGGCCGGAATCATCAACGCCCCTCGCAGCATTCGCCACAAAGCCCTTCAGGGAGGACTACATCGCCCTGTGGGGACCGTTCTATCGACGATCGCAGCTCCACGGATGCCGGGGATTCCGTCTCCGATTCTTTTGGCGACATGTGTATCAGTCCCTCAGGCCGAACTTTCTAGTTGTTTGTCTTCCTGTGTCTACTGTACTGTATGTAGACGTTGAATTTCGTGTTTCCCGAGCATCGGATGTATGTGTTGTTTTTTTATTGCGTACCCACGGCCATCACGACCATTATTGCGTAGTGTGTCGGCTAATTAAGGTCCTTCCCGTTCGTGGTGTCAGCACACACGCGCAACACGCGATTAAAATAAAAATAAAAGCTTGGGACTAGCAACGCCGACGATATTCGTCGGCTTGCTTTCAACAATTCGAGATATAGTCAGCAGTAATACAAAACCACAGCAACAACAGCAACAACAGTCGAGGGTTGCAATGTGTTGAAGCCTTCATTATTATACATAAATTGGTACGTACGTACGCGTAGATTAATTAGCTGCCGCCGTTGGGGCGTGGTGTGTGTGTGTCGCTAGAGAGAGGTGGACCAAGAAGAGCAAGGGGGAGGAGGGGGTCATCGAGGGCGGCCACCCATCATCAACCGATCTTTGCACACACACGCCGAGCTTACAGGGTGGCGACGCGATCGAAGCAGGAAGAAGGCGACCCAGAGACGCCCCGCCCAACCAACTAGATCCGACCCAACCCCGCCACGGCGACGGAACGAACGGGCTGTGGGAGACGATGGCGCGATTGACCCCAAATCAACCCCCTCCTGTCGACAGCAAGAAGAAAATCACGAAACAAATCATTCCACAACGCTACAGCCGCACAGCCGCATGAAAAACGAGAAAGGAAGAAGCAAAAGTTTTTTTTTGAGAATTATGGGCCGCCGCTTTGTTCTCGAAGAAGCGAAGAAGCAACCCAGTCGGCTGGTCCTCCTTCGATCGAGAAAAAGAAATGAGAAGAAATATAGGAAATTCTAACTTATTAGATCCATCACCTGTGGAAGGAATTCAATAATTTCATGTTGAAGAACTCGTCTGAACCACAATTATGAAAAGTCTAAAAGACTATCCGCAAGGAACTCGGAATAATATTTCTAGGTGTGTTTTTATTATTCCTTAATCAATATCACAGCATCGAGAGTTTTTTTTTTTATTCTGGGGGTGTGGTATCTTACGTAATTGTGTTGAATCCTACAGTACGTACGCTACATGCTGACTTCAACTAGTGACAGCTGGAAGCGTCACACCTACGTTCGTTTTTGCTATCAATACAGCAGTAGTTCAGTAGATTCCCGGTGTACACGATCTTGTGACTGCTATATTCGTTGTCTCCGCGCCGTAGAAACCGCTAGAGCATCGATCCATCTCCACTTCTATTCTACGTGGACCTAGACTCTGTCTTTACCGAGATAGATCATCGTCGCTAGAATTCTGTCTTCACCGAGATAGATCATCGTGCAGACGTGCGCCACGTATTCCGCCGCGTTACCCGAAATCAAGCCGCCCATCACGGCACACTCACAGCACCCACCCCATGCGCTCACCCTGCGCTACTGCTGTGTGAGAGTCTTCGCACGCCGCCACATGCCAGTGAGCGGTCCACTCTCTGTCATGATCACTAGCGCGAAATGCGCAACCACCAACGGCACCCGACTGCTTCCCTCGTTAGCCCTGTTCGGGTCGTTTTTCTTGCTCGGGGTTTTCATCAGCTGCCTTGGGCCGGCAATCGCTCCGCTGAGCCATGACCTCGGCGTTGCAGACGTCTCCCTTGGGGCCGGAGTGGCTCTCCGCGGGCTCGGCTATCTCCTGGGGTCGTGGCTTTCGTCTGTTCAGTGAGTGCGATCCACTGCTGCTGTTGCTGCTGCTGCTGCTGCTGCTGCTGCTGCTGCTGCTATTGTACGGCGGAATAGAGGCTAACTGCGATTTGTACAAGTAGATCCGGCTAGATGAACGCGACTGGTTGCCTGCTGTCTATGTAGAAATCCATGATCGGCATCAGTTGAACGTTGCTTCATAGAGTCGATACGGACATTAAATTGTGCAAGCCCTTGAGTTTGGTCGTCGCATGGTTGGACCGTGCTGATTTGTCATTGAAACATTTACTCTGCTGTATCGTACGCGTAGTGTACAATGTAGCTATGCTCGCGTTTACAGCCCTATATTTTCCCGCAAGGCGGGCTTACCCGCAGCCGGCGGGTTTATTTGTAAGGCTGGCGGACAATCGAGGTGCCAAAAATGGTAGTTACTGTGCGCCGCGGGACCACGTTCACATCTCGTTCGTTGCTTTTTGTACTGTGGCGGCTATGACGATGGATCGGTTATCCTTCAGTCGACGTCCATCCAACGTGGAGGTGTTTCACCGCAAACCCTCGAGTTTAGCCGTCGGGTCGTTGGGCCGGGTTGTTTTTGGTCGTCGGGTCGTTGGACAGCAGTGTTGTTCGTCCACTTACGGCCCAACGGCATTCGTAATTGTGTTTTTGAAACGTTGCTCGGTGAGGCGGGTTTACTGGGAAATCGTCGGGAAATACTTATAATTGTTAACCCTCCCAGTACTGGAAGCCCAAATGGGGACACTCTTTAGGGACACAGCACTCAAAAGGCCTATTACGGCACTGCTGTAGTCAACATAGGCCCCGCTGTGTGCAACGCACGTGAGAACCCTTGGTGTGTGATGCTTGGCTGAGGCGGTACATACGCTTTGTGATATGCTGTGTGATGCCTCTACTGTAGTGGGCCTCTGACTTGCTGAACACATCTCCCAACCCGCGTGCCCCCTGGGTCGTAAAACTGCTGTACATCGCCTGGTACTGGAAAAATTTGCTGACTTGGCTTCAGTATGAAGAGAGTCGTGGGGACACTTTTCATACTGAAGCCAAGTCACCCTTTGTCTGGCAAGGAGCTCAGATTCTTTGTAGGGACTGTAGCCCCTCGACCAATGGCTGACAAACATTTTTTCGGGATTTTTTTGGCGGAGGGACTGGGGACTAGGAGGGTTAGGACGGGCGGTCAATTAGTCACTGCACACCGCGGACGTGACTTTCGCAACAACCCCATTGTTGTATGACGGGGGCATGTTGAGGTTGACCGTAGGTTGGTCACGTGCACCTTCCAGAGCAAATGTTCTACGTTCTACATACCTCCGCGGATATGCTTGCATCGCACAGCACACGGCCTCCTTCGACACGCTCCATGGAAGTCATCGGCCGATGACGGAATGTACACAGGCACCCGCACTCAAGAAGCTCTCGTTTCCGGCGAGGCTGTGGTTCTTAGGTCCTAACGTACGGGAAATATGTAACTGCACCTTGGAAAAGTGCTTATCACTCTCCTGCGCGCCGGTTTGTGAGTGGGAGAAAGGTGAATATGCTTACATAGGCGGGAAAAAAGCGTGCGCGGAAGGAGTGTGCGTTTCGCCGGACAGTCGAATTTTCCCTTCTCAGATGGCTGGCTATATACCGTATATACCCAATACAGATGGCTGGCTATATACCGTATATACCCAATACACCGATTGTTTTGGTGCGTTCCTCCACCCCTACCTCCCGCTGCTGCTGCGATATGCTTGCAGGCTACCCATCGGGGCGCTGAACGACCGGATGGCTCGCCTCGGCGCCGCCACGGCCGGCATCGGATTGTTCGCAATGGCGATAGACGCGGCGCAGACGTTGTGGGCGGTTTGTGCTCTCTGCTTCGGCCAGGTGGGTGACTGCAGCAGTAGCCTACGCCAGGCACGCAGCAGTAGATGGATGATGTTCGTGACGTGGGGCGGGATGGGTCTTGTGCCGTGGCCGTGAAATCCTGCTGTGTTCCTGCACCTTGCTATCCAGTGGTTGCTTGCTTGCTGCTTCCTGTGGGCGACACGACTTTGTGCGTCGTTCGTGTAGGGCATACGCCTAAGGCACATGTTGTCGCCCACGTCTGTTTTCGGTTTTGCGACAAAGGAAAACAGGGGCTCTGCGGCGGGTCTATCGACGCCATCGCCAACGCCGCCATCTCCTTTGTGCATGGAGCCGGCGTCGCTCCTTGGATGCAGGTTAGTACGCACGCATGCACGGCACGCAAACCAGAGTAGGAGCGCGGTTGCACGAAAACTGCAACGGGACGCCCAGGACACCACCCTAACGCCACCAACATCAACCCCACGACGTCCTGATCACATCACTGGGCTCGATTCTGTACCTCGTCGCATTCCTGACCTATATCTATCACACTCGCGACCCATCCCATCGCCATCTTAAACACCAACCCGCAGGGTTTACACTTCTGCTTCAGCGCCGGAGCGCTTCTTGCCCCCGTGGCCGTGGGCCACTTGGGGTACCCTGCGGCGTTTCTCGTTTTCGGCCTCCTCGCCTTGCCAACCGGCGTTGCGTGTTGCCTAACCTCAAGCGCCGCGGCCGCCGCCGCCGCCACTACCTCCGCCGTTTCTGCGGCTCAAGGCGTGGACGGAGGAGGCAAGCACCACCTGCTGGTTGACGAGGTGCCGTTGTCCATGCCGGATGGCCAGCAGGAGGAAGAGGGTGGTGGTGGATTGCCGGAGGTGACTCTCACTTCCAGGGGAGACCTTGAGATGGTGCAAGGTAAGCAAGGTTTCGGGGTTCCAGCGCAATAGGATTGGCGACGAATCAAAACGACCGGCGGCCAGGTAGATGGCGGCGGTCGCAACGTTTCTTCGCAGACTCTCGCCGCCGGACAGTTGGCATGGTGAGCTTCGAGACGGAATCTACGTCCTATGTATCGCATCCCTCTGCGTGTGGTCATTTGTCCCTTCCACAAAATAAACCGCACCGTTTTCTCTGTACCCTTGGCGGGATGGGATGGAGGGTCACAGCAACGGGCCCACGATCACTTGACGTGAGTGGGACAGGTACAGACGGGGGCCCTTCCTTCTCTCACCGACACCCGAAATACAAGCGAATCGAACGTGACGATTCACCACCAGCCGCACGAAGGCGAAGCGAGGCGCATAGCGGTGGCGGGCGCGGTGGCGCTCTCGCTACACGGCGGGAGGAGGAGGAGGAGGAGGAGGAGGAGGAGGAGGAGGAGGAGGAGGAGGCCGGAGGGGGGCAAGAGGCACTGGCGGAGCACGGGCGGGCTCCCTCGCTGTTGCTGTCACGTGAGGAGGTCGACCGCCAGCACATCTCAGCAGGTGAGGGCCAGCCTATAGACGGGCAGTCTTCCGCAGAAGACGCGGAGCAGCCGCTCCGCTTGGAAGAGCACGAGGCTGGGGGTAAACTGCCGCCGCCGCCGTTTCCCCTGGTTGGCCTGCTGGTGCTGTTCTTCTTCCTGTACGTGGGAATCGAGGTCGGCTTTGGCGCTTGGGTGGCCGTCGTTGTGCTTCGCGACGATCTCGCCGGGCAGGCAGGCGCGGCTCTCATGGCTAGGTGGGTGGCAGCAACAGGGCGTCGACACCGCTTTCAGCTCACTCGGAATTTTGCCTCCAGACTCTCTTGGCCGTCGGTAAGCTGGATCCATAGCCCAGAGGAAACTTACTGACTATGTCCGCTGTCCCCCGCGCCTCTACCTCGCCCCCCCCCCGTCTCCTCACCGACCACGTTGGATGAACAAACATCACCGAAGCAGCGTCTTCTGGGGAGGGATCACGCTAGGGAGGCTTCTCGCCATACCACTCGCCGTTCAGTTTTCGGCCGGTGGTCTTTTGACGGTGAACCTGGTGGGTGGGTTGCTGTCATCAACATTGCTGTGGTTCATAGGAAGGGTGAGCGAGGGGGTACGGGGGGGGAGGGGTGTAGTCATAGCCGTGCATGCCGTAGTCGTTAGACCATTGACCTCGCATCCCTACAAAGCTGGGGCGGAGCACGCCGGGTTCTCACCGGACCAGGCTCTCACATCACCAACCGCGAAGCGCCGTGAGGTATTTGGCGAGTCGGTGCGCTGCGTCCTGCTAAGGGTGTTCGGCATCTTGTGCTTACTTCCTTGCGTTCGGATGACAGCTGCGTATGACTTAGTTTATTCTCTGGTGCCTCCACTTCCAGAGACAATTGTAAGCACTGTGTAACTGCCTCGAGGGTGCTTGACCAATTTAACAAAACGTGGTGCGATCAACAAGCAGTAACCTGGTTGCCGAGCTCACGAAGTGATCGGCTTGTTTTACAACGCCGTTGCCATGCGACCAAAACCCAACCCCAATGGCAAACACCGAGGGGGGATGGGGGTGGGGGGGGGCGTACTCTCGTGTGCATCCTTATTTGCCAAAGGTGGCCCAAATAATGTTTTTCCCTTTAGCCTATCTATCCTATCGATAGCACTTTCCGCCTCTCCAACCCACTTCGTAAGCCCCAGTACAGCTACCGTCTTCTCCTGGCTGTTGCATGCCTTAAACATTTCCTTTTAGCCTTCCTTCTACTTTTCCCAGCTTAGTCGTGTACATTTCTCTCTCCTTGTCGTACAATGGACATTCCGTAATACGAATCCGTTCTTCGCGAGGGGGTGGAGCGGGGGGCTTGTTTGGCGAAGCGGAGAGGAAAGGAGGGCGAATCGTCCATTTCACGCCGCAGTAGTCTTGCCATAACGCCACCATTGGTGCATAATACCCGTAGGTTTCTGAAGCAAAGTAACCACAGCAGCAGCAGATGGAGCCCTTGCAGCCGGGCGCGGGAACTTGCATCGCGTCTAGGTTGTCCGCGGGGATTTGATGTCCCCCCTCCTCTTTTCCTCGACCTGTTTGCCTCCCGTCTTCCCGTCGATTGCCGGACGGACGGACGGACGGACGGAAAAAAAAACTCTGTCTGCGCCCTTGACTTATGGCAGGATGGTGCTGTGTGGGCGGCGATGGGGGCCGCAGGTTTTGGGTTGTCCATGGCCTCCACGTACCCTTTGGCCATGTCCCTGCTACCTGAAGCTGGTGAGTTGTGTTCCGTTGTATGCATACGCGACTTTTGGGGGTCCTCTGTTTGGCTCGGAAAACAACCCTCCGATCGTTAAAACCTGCAAGGTCAACTCCCCCGTCCTTGGAGCACCAACTAGCTAGTCGGGGGGACGGGGGGGGGGGTGAGTGTTCTACCGGGTGTTGCTCTGTGTGTGGTATCGCAAGGAGGGTTGCTATCGTTCGTTTCGGAACGCTGCCAATGAAACGCGTCAGAACCGTCCCCGATGAAGAAAGAGGCTAGGCATTCATTGCCTGGTAGTTTTGTTCCTAGATGCAACGCCGAAAGATAAAAGTGTTTGTTATTGTCCCAAGAGAGGGTCCGGCCGATTTATCACGCATACACCATTAGATACCCCGCGCCCTATCGTTGTGCCACGTTCTCTTCACGGACCTCCCCTCTGTGCCACCACGTGCAAATAAATGCAGAGAGCGGCTATTCTGTGCTTTTTTGTGTTTTCTCTCGTGGCTCTGGTACATGTGCATATGCATACAGCAGTAGTAGTAGTGAGTTCAACATGATATAGTCTGTGAACATGCTCTATGTGGAATACTCCGCGCAAGACTTGGAGATCGTTGCCCCTTGCCGTTTCGTTTTCGTCGTCGGCTTGCCCCCGAACCATTCATTGTTGATGCCCACTCCAAGGATACGCCCTTTCAGAAAAAAACTCATCCCGCTTCGTGGTCGGGGGTGCTCTCGGAGAGATGCTGGTGCCCGCGTGCATCGCGTTGCTTCTGGGCCCCAGCAGTAGCAGCAGCAACAGCATCGGCGACGGCGACGAAGAGCCCGGGCGGTCCGCCGCGCTGTACGGCGCCTGCTTTGCGGTCTCGTTGCTCCTGGTGGCGGTTTACGGCAGTTGGTGTAGCCTACTTGCTTCTTCGGCCGCAACGGCGGCAGCATCATCATCGTCGTTGCGCTAGGATGGATGGAGAAGAAAGCGCGCGTGGGGAGAGTGGCGGGGAAAACAACGAGTTTCTAAAGCGTCTAGCAGGGCTGGATATGTACCCCACATTCTACATGTACATAACCCAGGGGAACCATACTCTTGGGTGTAGATCATCAGCGTTTGTTTGCTGCCACTGCCGTACCATGCGTTCTCGCTCCCGTATTGCTGCGTGCACCATAAATAGCCTACACCCCTCTCCCGGGAAGACAGAAGGGAAAAAACGGTTGGAAACAGGAGACACGGTAGGTAACAACAGCTGGCTCACGGAGATTCTTCTCCACAAACAGTGACACGCCTCGTCCGAACATTGGTTGCCTCCCACGGACTATCTTGCTGTGTCTCGGCGCTCCTTCAAGGGTGCGAGGATAAGAAGAGTGCTTGCTTGTGGTAGGCAAATTAATCGTGTACTAATTTGTGTTCAATCAAGCCTCCGACAGGGGGGCCCCGGGGCCATCAATGTGGACTCCGTTTGCGAAGCTTTTCTCATGGGGATTCCAGGAAAAATTTTATGGGTCTCTACTGCGTACCCGGTACTAGAGCGGTGTAGAGAGAGAGATCGAGATTAGTTAGTCTACATGGCATGGTTGGTTGGTGCGTCTCAGAAAAAAACAAGGCGCACCCTTCTCAGCACGGACGGGGCAAAAATAAACAAATGTGCCTGTGTACTACATATTATACTACATACAGCAGTATCTATGTTTAGATAGATAGATAGATAGATAGATAGATAGATAGATACATACATACATACATACATACATACATACATATCGTTCGCGCATCTCGTTCATCGTCCTGTGGCTGTACTTACTGCTGCTGCTGTGTGTCTGTCTGTGTCATCACGCCACGAAAAATGCATCTATCTACGTACTAATTGTTTTTTTAGAAAAAATAGTAAACATATCAGAAAGAATATACTACCACATGCCACAAACAAGAATACCATGCAAACGAAATTTGTGTTTTCCGAACAAAAACATAAGATGCTTACACTACGCAAACGTACGCGCGCAACCTACCGCCCAATTAATGACCTTCCTTTGGTGGGCAGGCAGTATAGCAGGTGGAGAACGAACGATGGGTGGGTGGGTGGTGAATGCGTCGTTTCAACTATTTGTTCAATAAATTCGAAAAAAACAAGAAAAAGAGGGGCGAACCTCATCAGGCGTATGTACGGACTGCTGCTGTTGTCTGGTACCCACGGTATAATCTGCCGCCGCCGTTGTTGCCGTTCAGGGCGGGAAGCAAAATAAGATTAATTACTATTTCACCGTCAGATCCTGCTACAGGTCAGGTCCTCCGCTACTACTACTCTTCTTACAGTCTGCACATCGTTTTCCTCCACTCACTGAAAAGACAACGAGAAAGCACATAAATCTTGACTCTTTTCCAATATATAGTCGGGCGCCCCGCCATAAAAAAACTCAGCGAAACAAGAACCAGTTCGAGGCACATTTTCTTTGAAGATCCACTGGAATTTGCGAAGATTGAAACGTCATTTGACGTCACCGGTCGGCCCACACTTCCTGAAAAAAAAATCTAACAATCTAACGGCCGAATAATCAGTATTTTGTATTTTTGGTGCTCCTGCAGCTTGGACCCACATCAGAAGAAGTCCGCCCTCTCTCGACACAACAACCTCAAATCCCGAACACACCACACCTCAAAATACCTCGGTCCACGCCTCTCTCGGCCTCCTGCACTCTCTGGTTCCTACCATAGGAGGGAGCAGCCACAGTTCCCTTACCACCACACATCGCTGCTGCTCCGGCGCACAAGACGTGCGTCATCGGCCGACTGGATTCTTCGTCATCATCACCCGACGGGTAATAGGTAGGGAGGGTATGTGTATGTATGTACCTCGCGCCTGCTGCTGCTGCTTCCTCGCATCTTTTCGGAGCTGTTTTCAAACACCCGCTCTGCGAACGCAATAGCCTGTGGTGCCGTCAGCAGCACCATGTACCATGTGTGTCGCGGTTGCACTTGTAGAGTCATGTCAGTGTGGGCGAAATAATATCTTGGGGCAACGCGTGTGCACATCAGTTGGAAAAAACCCAGTAAACAACCGTCCGTGCATGTTGCTGTTTAAATTAGCCCTGGGTGCAAATCTCCAGACTCAAGACGAATCGCGATACGGCTTCAGGGGAGTTGTAGCCTCTCTATCTTTTTGCTACAGCAGTAGTACGCTGCATCTCTCACGTGCAATCCCTTTAGCTCCACCCAGCCCCGCCATGTGTCGCCGGAGCGAGAAAACAAACCAGGATGAATGTTTTGCGAGGACACATAGACTAATAATGCCGGGGCAACGAAATGCCAGGAGACGGCGCATCTATCGCTCTCTTTTTTTTTGTGGGTTGGTTGATAGAGAGGAGCGTGGTCCGTGGTGGCTGCCAGTGGCTTTTTTCGAACAGGCTGTGGGCCATCTGGAGCGACGCCCGACTTTGAAAGCATCAGACAGGCCCTGGCAATGGGCCGAGGGAACGCAAAACGAACCTCTTCTCGCTCTCCCTTGTTTTTTCAATGCGCGCGCTACATACATATATATGCATAGCATAACATCCACAGCCATCATCGTCCTCGCATGCATCACATCTGTGCATGTCTACAGCGCAGAAGAATATACCGCACATCTCGCGCGAGAGGGCCAAAGATCGCCCGCTCAAAACCCGACCTAAAGATTTGTGTTTTCAAGTTGGCAGGGCATGTGTATGTAAGGTTCATCAACATGTTGTCTTGCTGTGACGTCACCGAATCTCAATATATAGCGCACGTACCACTGCTGTAGATCTGTAGATACTGCTGCTGCTGCTGTGGTTGTTTCATAGAGAAGATGGCGTTCAAGAAGGAAACTCCCCCCCCCTAGCAAGACTGCCTGTGGCACGACGTTAGATGAACGGCCAAGAAGCCGGAGAGGAGACAAGGACCGCATGTTCTCACATCGGTGTGTGGTACGGAAGCTCACGAAATTTCCGCTCCGCTCCCCGACACCGTACAGCCCCACCGCACCGCTTCGAGGCCGGCGGCCGGTTGCAACACCGCCATGAGAAGCAGCGGCGGTGGCCGTGGTGGCGGAGGCCCAGGCGCCGTGGCGTGGACCGCGGCCGAACTGGAGGTGCTGAGGCAGAGCATCCGCGAGAACGGATTGGACGACTGGAGAACCCTGGGGGACTGGTCCCAGGTGAAAAATTGACACGCATGATCGCGCTTCTTCTACAATGTATGATAACAGGTTTGCGATATTCATCAACTGCTGTTTGCGTGTTCCTTAGATTTAAGGAATAATAAATACACACACAGAAAGACTACCCATTCGAGATATACCCACAGCAGTCGAGCGGGATGTGGTGGAGTCTTTCCAGTGAGTGGAGGGAAACCGGCTGGGTACTGGACTTATTTCGAGTCTATACACTGATGATGATCTTCTTATGGCTTTAGCATTTTTCTGTGTGTTGATTTTTTTTTTTGTGACCACGGACCGCGTCTTTGCTAGATTTTGGGATTAGCAACTGACAAATGGTTGGTGCCGCAGGAACCGCATCGCAGCAGAACTATGGCATTTACGACCACTCCTGCTGTGCATATGCATGTATGTCTCTATGTGAAAGCCGTAGGCAATTTGCATGGATGTGCTGCAGTTTTACAACGAGGTTGTGTTTCAGATGGAGACGGCGCGGTCAACAACGACCAACAACCGCCGTTTGCTTGCTGATTTTCAGAATGTAAACTTATGTTGTGAGGGCTGGCTTGTGAACATGAAGACGTAGTTGGCATGTCCCGCACGCAGCATTGAGTACGCAGCATTGAGCAGCGGCCCCCGCCGCAGCAGCAGCAGCCGAATGAACTTGCAGACGGGGCAGCAGCAACGAACGGCGCGGTCGTTGCGCATGAAATAACGACCAAGCAACGAAAAATAACGACCAGGTTTCTTGCCGCTGCCTTTTGATTTTTTTTATTTCATCAATATAAAAAAAAAATCAATACAAATATGACCCAACGAATCCATCTCTATGAAGAAAAGAGTCTAATTATAACACCGCAGGGGAGATGTCCCTATATGCTGTCTGGCAAACCGTAGACATACAGGTACTTTCTGACGCTATGAATTCATTGCTAATCTGTCTCAGACTCTTTTCTATGATAGAGATGGATTCGTTGTGTCATATCAAGAAAAAAAAAAAAAATGAATCCATAGCAAATTCTGTTTTTCCACGATTTCCCGAGCAGCACACAGTGATATCTCCCCCGTGGGTAACAGGGTCAACAAGACAGTTTTTACTTCGTTGGCTTGTGAACATGAAGAAGCACCCTGCAACGAGCAACGGCCGCCGCCGCCGCCGCACTGCAGCAGCAGCAGCAGCAGCAGCAGCAGCAGCAGCAGCAGCAGCAGCAGCAGCAGTCGACGACATCTATCTCTCACAGATAAATGTAATCGGTACGTACGTGCGTATCACACACACGCACCCGCCCGTTCATTGCCGTGTCCCCTGTGAAGGTTACATTTTACAATACACGACACAACGGAGGTATTCTCCCCAATATTTTGTCGTTGACCCAGTAGAGAACTACAGGGGATGTGTTGTAAAATGTAAGTTACCTATACAGATGTTTTTATACCCAGCCGGTTTCCTCCACTCACTGAAAAGACTCCACCACATCCCGTTCGACTCCTGTGGGTATATCTCGAATGGGTAGTATTTCTGTGTGTGTTTTTGTTATCCAAGCTCCCACGAGACCGATGAGCGGCCACACCCGGCTGTTGTTCAGGCTCAGCCGACTGCTGTTTTATTGTAAACAGAGGTTCTGCCATCTGCCATAGCTACTGCTGTGCGCTTGAGAGTGGATGAAGGACCCCCTTCAACTATTTTGCCGTGGCTCCAAAAAAGTCTATGGTACCAAGACTGCTGTGTAGTTTCGTTCGTCTATGTATGTAGAGACGTCCGTCTTCGAGAAAATACATTTACAACGCTACTACTGCTGCGTCTCTATAGTGTTAATATCTACAGTCCATTCGCCAGCAGAAGAATATCCAAATGCCTCTCGTGTGATGAATCTATCCTGGACCTGGACTCAGGCATTCGAGACCCCCACGGCCTCATCATGCCACTCGAGTCCCTCGTGTTACTCGCCACGTACATATCTCCAGCTGCTGCTGTACATTTAACCGAAAACGCAGGTCACACCTTTGGGTCAAAACCCTCCGCTGCTTGAGTTTCGCTCATCGAGCTCCTTGGTGGTATCCTCTTTCTCATTTGACGTTTGAATTGAAAATATATGGTACTTGTTAGTAAAGATGTAAAGATCGCAGCCGCGGGGGCGGGGAGAAAAATGCAACCATCAAAGATCTAGACCTGCCCGCCAAAACAAACAGACGTGCATGACGTAAAGCCGAAAACCGTCTTCTCGGCTTCTCGGCGTTCGCTGCCTGTACTTGTCGTTGCATAGGAGGCGTTTCAAACACAGGCAATTGTTGCTTCAGGCCTTAGATACATGGTACTATACTACCACCACCCTGATGCTGGCATACAATTCAACGTATAGTATGCGCGTGAGGACAGCGAGCGGTGGGCTGCAAAGCTATACAATACACGGCTGCGGCTGATGTATGTATGTGCAGTCCACAACTCGCGCCTCGGAACGAAAAGATAAAGAGTGACGCTATGAATTCATTGCTAGTCTGTCTCTGACTCTTTTCTATGATAGAGATGGATTCGTTGTCATACGAGAAGAGACGGACCGAGTGGCACGATACGTGCCGGATTGAATTTCTTTTAGCCAATCCCCCCCCCCCAACCCTGCACCATTGCACCAACCCCCCAGTAGTGATGACGTACCATTACAATGTATCGCTGGTTGGTGGCCTTGTTTGCGTGTTTGCTTGCTCGTTAGTGGTCTCTCCACCTTGTGCCTGTTTCTGCCTATTATTTCTTATTTCTTGTTATTTTCGGCCTGGTCCCTTTTTGTCCTCGCTCTTTTTCATTTTATTTTCGTTTTATTTTCTCTTCTTCTTACTGTTTCCATTTTTTTATTTTTCTCTTTTTTTCTCTTTTTCTCTCTTTTTTCTCTCTTTTGCTGTGCCAGATGGCCTTGTCTCTGCTTGCGTTGTGAAGTACCAAGATTGAACCAAGGGGGCGTACCTCTTTCTCTCCGGCCCATGATAGTGACTCCTAGTCTCAGTTGATACCTCGCATAGCGCGCAGAGGGAGTGGAGGATTCCAGAATATCTATCTGTCGTTGATTTCTTTTGACTTGCGGACCCCTCGGGGCCAGTTTATTTGAGTGTACCTTTTTAGGGTAAGTTAACCTGTGACCACGGGAATCGACCGCGTCGAGTGTTGGATCACTACGGACATACGAAGGTACTGGGTAGAGAGAGATCGGAACGGTTTTTAATGTGAAGACAACAACAACAACAACAACAACAATTAAGAAAAAAAAAAAAGAACTACCGTGCGTGTCGTCGTTTCCGGCTGACCCGAGGCCCACAGGTTTTGCTCTTGTTTTACGTACTACATGACATATGCATATGACCGTTCTAATCCATGCTGCTCTTGTTTTAGAGACGTCTTACAATAATAGTCTAAACGTTCCAACTTTCCAAATTTCCAAATCCGTAGTAGACTACAAGGCGTCCCTCCGGAGTGAGTGGTAACGAGAGCACCGCGGCAAGGGGCGATGCATCAACCAACATGCCAAGAGCAAACAGGTACTTCTTGTAGACTACTTCTGTACCACTGCTGTGTACCAAGAAAAAAAGGTTCGCGCCATTTTTGGGAGGTCGGCGCGAGCTTTTTCATTGACACTGCTGTAAAGAGTAAAGAGATCCTTCTGCAGGAATTTGGCTATTTTCTGGATATTTTTGGTTGAAAGCCCGCAGCCGCGCGGATTTTGAATGTGTTTCACTCTTCTTCTATTTTGAAATTTCGATTTGTTTTTTTGAAATTTTGAAGTTTGGAAGTTTGGAAGTTTGGAAGTTTGGAAACGACGACTAACGCCGAAAAATTTGGAATCAGTATTTTCTAAATAAATGTGGGCCGAATGCGAAGAAGGTGTACCGATTCTGGTAAAAGCCATTCGACGGATACCCTGTGAATCGGGTCCTCCTGAACAACACTCTCTCCACCCTCAGAATTAACCCTCACAACTCACTGGGAACCCATTGGGACCAGGACCGGTAATGTAATTCGATTAAGAGGTGTCACAGATTCGTTGCTCTTAGGACTGACACACATTTGTGTCCCATGGGAAAATAAAATGTCCAAGTCACGAAAAAAATATTCACACAACGAGAGAGACTGGAACCAACCAGTGTCTTGCCGACGACGTCAGATATGAAGGAGCCCCAGCTGTTTAGGAAGCTGGGTCCTAGGGTAAAGAAAGAGGTGCGGTCACCTAATGCACACTGCCTCTCTCTCTCTACGATTGTGTAGAAATGGGATGTTGTTGCATAGATTGAGGTATTAGAGAGAGAAAGGTAGGTAGGTAGGTCTGGTTGAGATGGGGGATCGACCTCTCAACCAGGGGGCACCAGATAGTTGAGTCCTGATGTGGTATGGTCCCTCAAAGATATACCTCCGGCCATCCCACATCCTATCTTTGGCCTACAGCAGCAACACTCCTTAACACGAGGCTGGGATTGAATCTTACTTCGAAGTAGTTCCTGAAGTTGTGATGTTTCAATATGCTTGAATCTTAGTTCCCGAACTTCTTTAGGGCGGGCGCTAGCTGCTGTAGCTTTTTGTATGCTCATAAATCTGTAACTTTGATTCTTAGACAATGTGCAGTGATGGACTTTATCATTCCACCCGGATAGTAGGCTGATTTCACACCTACCTTGACTTGCTACCCCACCTGAACAGCCTGCACTCTTGCCCATGTCCCGTGCGTCTGATCGTACGCCCTCACCTTGTATCCCCGCCCCTGCCACCACCTTAATACAATGCAGCCCATACAGCCCAGTAAAAACACGACTGACTCTCTTGAGCCCATTAAAGACAAGCAAAGGAAAATCCCGAAACGTATGAGCAAGCCAGGTCTAGGAACGAATGCTACCTCTGACCCGCGCGTGCACCCGTCCTTTCATCGCGTCGTTTGCCCGGGCCAGAGCCCTTTGGCTCCCGACATATGTAATGTATGTATGCATAGCAACGCAACGTCGTCCAAATTGGCCCTCTCTCATGTAGTGTGATTGGAACGAACGAACGCGTTGATGTTTTGGACTTCTTCCATCTCCCTTGGTGTTGGATCGACCATCACGACGAGCAGCAGATCACGAAATCTACCCCGGTGACATGGTATTTGGACCCTTGGGACCAAGATACCGCCTGGCTGGCTGGGCGGGCATATCTTGCAGAAATACTCCGGCCACCTGCCTGCCCAGACTCCTTTTTTTTCCGAGTTGTATAAACAGCAGAACATTTATTATATGTTGTTAGCAGCAGCAACCAGTACAACACGTGCTTGCGAACGCTCCCCCTTGTTCATTCAATGTTTGGCCTATGGGAGTACGCGATGATAGCAAGCGACTGAAACGGAGACGCCAACCTACACGCAGCAGTGAGTGGTCGGACCCGCTTCACACTGCAATCTCGTCACACTTGGCGTCGTCTGCACCCTCCTCGTGCTTTGCGCATGATGCTGCGGCCTGCCTTCCTCCGGCTAGCTCGCGTCACATCACGCTGACGCCACCACTTTGAGCTTTTGAGCATGCTATTGATATTTGGCCCTGCCCCCCCCCCGCCCCCCTCCAGTTTTTCGTTTTCGTATT